ATGACGATATATGTTTCAACTTCCTCAAATGACTCCTTTCTTGGGTATGACGATATATGTTTCAACTTCCTCAAATGACTCCTTTCTTGGGTATGACGATATATGTTTCAACTTCCTCAAAATAGCCAGGCTTTATTAAACAAAATTCAGTGACCATGAAATGCAATTTTAAATTAATCATCAAATATCTAAAAGATGTTCTGGTTTTTAAAACAAGTTTCAAGCCATTTCACTTTTCTTTAACATCTATCGTCGTTCAAAATCAATATTTTAAGAAAAAAGAAAAACAACAAATAAAACGTACACACGTTGGAGTTTGTTACGTTTTGGTTCAACTTTATCAGAAAATTTGTTTTGTTTGTGTTTTGACTTTCCCGCAAAGCTACACGAGGGCTATCTGCGCTAACCCTCCCTAATTTAGCAGTGTAAGACTAGAGGGAAGTCATCACCGCCCACCGACAACTCTTGGGCTACTCTTTTACCAACAAATAATGGGATTGTCCATCACATTATAACACCCCCACGGCTGAAAGGGCGAGCATGTTTGGTAGAACGGGGATTCGAACCCGCGACCCGCAGATTGCGAGTCGAGCTCCTTAACCATCTGGCCATGATGGGCCATTATCAGAAGAAGAACCTTCCAGTGGATAACCATGATAAAGTGAACCCGTTCACTAAAATAAAACTAACAAAAACACAAAGACGAATGAAAATATTATTCTGAAAACGCTAATTTCAAATCAGAGAAGGTAATATGCTACCAACGAATAAGTTCGCTTAAAGCTGAGAAAGGAAGCAAAAGATGCCTACCTGTGATGCGTCTACAGTGTCTATATGTTGCCATATAACTGTATATACCACAGCGTTGACGTCAGTAGAGAATGAGCTAAACTGATCAATACCACATTAATCTTACTTGAACGCGGACCCTCTTCGTAATTAACGACCGATTCTCCGAAACTAACGACGCGAAAAGAAAAATGGCTTAACTTTCCGACGCTAATGTGAGTTGCACGAGTGGACCATGTGGCTCAAACCATTAGGCTAAACCACTTGCTCACTCTCTCCAAGTTATGCACATGTAACTAGATGAATATTTTGTCACGTGAAATAAAATTGTAGTGGAAGACAGACTCTACTTTAAATGGTGTTCCTTCATTAAAAAAAAAATAAGAGAAAATCCTTGGAACCCGTTATACCACAATTCAAACAACACATATAATTAATCTGTTTTTTTTTTAATATTATTCAAAGCGTGGTTATATACCATTTTTGTGTTTATAACTAAAGTTAAAGAATAATGGAAGAAAAACAAAAAACTGGACTTAATAACTTTCAATTATTTGATGATCAAGGAAAAATAAATTTGTTGAGACAGCCGCTATTACAACACCTAAATATACGACATCCGCTATTACAACACCTTAATATATGACAGTCGCTATTACAACAGCTAAATATATGACAGTCGCTTTTACGACAACTAAATATACGATAACCGCTATTACAACAACTAAATATACGACAACCGCTATTACAACAACTAAATGTACGACAACCGCTATTACAACAACTAAATATACGATAACCGCTATTACAACACCTTAATATACGACAACCGCTATTACAACAACTAAATGTACGACAACCGCTATTACAACAACTAAATATACGATAACCGCTATTACAACAACTAAATATACGACAACCGCTATTACAACAACTAAATGTACGACAACCGCTATTACAACAACTAAATATACGATAACCGCTATTACAACAACTAAATATACGACAACCGCTATTACAACAACTAAATATACGACAGCCGCTATTACAACA